CATGTTCCAGGGAAGAAGTGGCAGAGGATGCAGCCAGGGGACACCCTCACCTTCAGCCTTCTGAGAGCAGGATGAGAAGAGTCATGCCAGTTTTGGCCCCAAGCAAAGAGATGTGCTGTGGAGTTACGACTTTATCCTGAAAGCAGGCAAAGAATTTTAAGCTGAGGGGGCAGACAGAAATCCCACATACTCGGGGAGAAAAGAAACATCTCTTTCCTGAGTTCCTTTACATTAACTGAGTGATGACCTCAGGCTTCCCACTCCACTTCAGGGCTTGTGGGAAACTCCAGCTCAGGCAGGAAGGGGTGGCCACCAATTCCCTATCAAATCAGACTCTCAGGGACTCAGACAGTAACCAGAAAATGGGACAGGACCACACCCCCAATAGGTCCCTCACTGTGAGCCTACTCCTGGATCCCTGGAGGGCTGGCAGCGCACCACCCTTCCCTCCAAAGTCCTGCTACCCTATAGCCTTTCTCCTTCTCCTCTCCGCACACCACTCTGCCCTACACTACCACCACCACCACACATTGGGCTGGCCAGAGGCCCAAGGTTTGCACAGACTCCAAGGGACAACAGCACTCTGCATAGTGCCCAATAGGCAGGAAGGTGCTCAATAAATGTGTACAAAGAGAAGGTTTTGGAATCCAGCCCAGCACCATCACACAGTCCCCTCTTCTTTGCTTTCTCAACCACTGCAAGACTACTTTGAAGACTAGGGGAACCTCTCTCTTCAGTGAGCTCCTAACATAGAGCACCCTCACTTAGGACTGGTGCCTGGAGGCGGACTCAACTCTCCTTGCACCCTGCACCCAGCCTAGTGCAGGCCCTTCAGTTCTCTGCTCCTCCCTTCTACCATTTGCAGAACAGGAGACTAGCTGTCCTCGTCCTCAGGGTGTCCAGTACTCACAGCCCTCCATGACAGACCCATAATCCCTATTATTTGCCCAGGCCAGGGGGCAGGGGGGCCTGGAGCTAATGCTGAAGACAGTGAGAGAGAAGCAAGAAGCAAAGCAGAGGCATCACTGGTGGAAAGTGTGAGACTGAGCTCAGAGAGGCAGGAGGAGGAAGAAGACAGCACACCTCTGTTTGCAGGCTCTTTCATCTGTCCTTCGGGAGGGCACAACCACCCCTCCTTTGTGTATGCAGAGTCAGCAGCCCTCTTGGGGCTCCCTGTATAGGTGCTAATCCTCAGGCCCCACAGCTGAGGAGACTGGGGTGGGAGTGCCTGGGGCTTGGCCCCCACCCCGCTCCCACAAACAAGCCCAGGTTCCTCCAGTAATGCTATAATTGGGTGGGATTTTCACTGAGAGAGAGGGAAAGTCCAGAGGAGAATGACGAGCCAGCTCCCCCTCGCTCCCTCCCCTAGCTCATTCCAGAATTCTCCCCTCCTTCCCTCTGAGGGTGGGGGGCATGCAATGACTCAAAGAAGGGGTAGAGGGAATGGGGCATGCATAGACTTAACTGGATCCAAAGACTTGTGTAGAGAAAAGGGTACTTTCCTTGAAAGAGAATGGCTCTCCCTCCACATTGAGACAGCTCCCTAGGGCGAGTGCCAGGACTTTAGGCATCCCCAACCCAATGGGCTTCCTGTGCAGATAGGGAAAATAAGGCTGGGTGGAGGGACCGCACAATACACTGGAGGTTGCTGACTGCTTCTACTTTCTCCAGCCAGTGCTACCACACTGCTTTCCCTACACAGAGAGACACAGCAGAAGTGGTCACAGGACCTTCCCCTGCAAACCTCAGGGCTCCTGCAGAGGACACAGTCACAGCAAAAAGAGACACCACTGAAGGGTGGAAAGTTCTGATTTCTAGTCAAAGTTCTGCCCTGGGTAGCTTCCCTAAGCCTCTTTCCTCCTTCTAAAATGGCATGGCCATGTGAATTCCTAATAAGTCGACAGCTAGCTGTTATTTTGAGACAGAACTAACTATGAGACCAACCTAGTCATGGATGGGAAAGACTCCAGGATGTAAAAAGGGCTCTATACTAGTGTACCGAATTGGTGAGCTGAGGGAGAATTCCTTCCTTTTATCTGTCCCTCACCAAATAACAAAACTCCCCAAACTTATCAGACCTGCAAATGAATATATAATTGGACATGGAGATGAGGATTGAGAGTCTGCAACTGGGAGCTGAGAGCTGGCTGTTCATGTTGAGTGGCCCTGAACAAGTCATTTCCCTCTCTGCTCTTCTTCCTCACCAGCAAAATCATATGAATTCCTGAGACTGACAGAAATCGCTGGCTATGTTTGTAATTAGCTATCCAGCCCCAAATGCTAGCCGCTAGCCGCGGAACGGCCCGCTGTTGGTGATCCTAGAGTCAGGGAAGGCGGCTGCTCGGTTCCGAGGGCTTTCACTGGGGCCAGCCCCCGCAGGGCAAAGGGTGCCAGCTCTCTTCCCTGGTTGGATATGTGCGGAGAATGAGAATGTATCCACATCTGGGCCCCACATGGACCTGCAGACTCGCGGCTGAACCCGGGCGCTCTCTCTAGGGCAGGCCGGACCTGGCTGTCTCCTCTTCGCAGCTGAGCCCCTCAGGCAGCCCAAGTACCGGAATAGAGGGGTTCGGCCGCGGGCAAACGAGCGAGGCGCTACGCAAGGGTACAGGCAACAAACAGTCCCCCAAGGCAAAGTGATGGACTAGAGAGAGCCTCAGACCAGCCACCTGGAAGGCAAGGGAATGGGAAAGGTTGGGTCACTCCGTAGAGCAGGAGCGAGAATCCGACGGTGCGTTCCACGTTGATTGCAGGGCGCGAGGGACTCGAAACCGAGGGCGCGCGACCTAGGAGTCCAGAGCGAGTGCGGGCCTCAGGTGCTCCTGGAAGCTGCCTGCTGAACATACTTTTCCGTTCCCGCCTCCCCAAGACCGCCTGCCGCCAGACCGCCGGCCCACCTGGCGCAATATTGCGCTCAGAGACCACTCACCTCGCGCTCCCCGCCGGCACCCGTGCGCCCAGCGCTCTGGGTCCGCACCCGCGCACCCCACCCGAACGACACGCGCACCCACGAGCACCCCGCCTATATCCACGCACCAGGTGCACCCTGCGCACCCCTAGGACCAACGCACCCCACGGCCGCAGGA